ATGAAATCTGTTGTTTTACACAAAAATAACTAGATCAAATTGAAAATGAATTTTATTCATAGCTATGGGGATGGATATTAACTATAAGTGAATAGTATAAAATGTGTTTTGAGTTTGTACCAGGATTGTATGAACAGTCTTCAATCTGATCCTAAACCACCTAACAACAACATCCACTACTTAGTTAAAACCAGTCGCTTATCTTTTAAAAAAGATTCCTGCACTTGAACACATTTTTTAAATATATATATTATTTCCTATAATACAAAATTTGAACATTATCAGCCAAATTGATTACAACTTTGCTATGTCTTTAATTACAGATAATTTGAGTGATTGAGGAAGTTTTCAGTAAAAACACTATTAAAGATTTTTTTTTTGGAGAGGGTGAAATTTATAAAAGAACAGATCGAATTGAATAAACACACGTACAATGGAAGGTTGTTAAGTTTAAAGAATGTATACTAAGAAATATATACTGAAATAAGAATAAAAATTATAATTAATATAAATGATTTTATTACAAAGCAACGGTCATGATTAGATATTATTACAGGCCTTTATGATTAATATTAGTATATTAAATTTTAAATATAGTTTTAGGAAAAAGCTACATTTTCAGACAAGGTGGTATGAAAAGTATAAAAATTGTAAAACAAATATTTTTTTTATATAAATGTAGTTAGGATCACTTTTTCCCCTTAATTTATAAAATGTTTGGAATGTAAGGTAAGTTGCGTATGGAGAAATTTGTACATATATATGTATTGTCTCATTTACCTTAAAAACAAAAATATTATAGCTCACCAACAATCAGATGAGAATCCAAGGGCAAACTAAATGCACCACTAAGTTGGCACTAATTTTTTTTTTTTTACCTTATGATGTTATTTACAAATATATAAACATATAGTTATTAAAATATAATATTTTAATCTCGTAATATATGTATTTATTGGTAAATAAAATTGGTAGGTAAAAAAAAAAAACAATGTTAGTTTCAATATAGTGGCACAGGAAATCACACTCAAGCTGCCATTTAATTGTGGATGAGTTATAGTTACAATATCAATATTCTTTTCACATCAAATATATAATTTGTTTAGTAAAGAGCAGTGAATTGATGTTTCATAGTTAATTAACACATAAAGGGTCTCTTATGCCTAATTTAAAATGTGAAATAAATGTTATGTGAAATATCATTTGTTAATATTATAAAATCATTAAAAAACTCAGAAAATGAGAATGTTAGGCCTGTGATATTCTCAACATCATTGTTTTTCATAGTTGGTTATCAATAACTTGAAATACTTTACAGTCTCTAAATATTAATTAAACAGAAATACTATGAAATAAAAACTTATTCAGTAACTAAGTTCTCCAACATGTCTTATTTTGAACATTTTAAATGCAAATATTCGATATCACAAATTTCTTAGTTTCTCATGCCTTAGAATCCCTCTCGTACTAATATTAACGTCATGGTAATCACTTAGAGTACATTAAATACGCCAACATCATTAAAACTATTACAATTTCAATATATACAATTCAATATATATGGTAAGTATATATATATATATATATATATATATATATATATATATATATATATATATATATATATATATATATATATATAATGTATATATATACACACTTAAATTACAGAATATAAGTTACAGAAGACATAAATGGCATACTACTAAGCAAAATTTAGAATACCAGTTAAATCATTTGTATTTATATTAGCTTACGACAATGTTCATTTGATGAAAATTATAAGAATTCAATATACAATATATATTAATTATTTCAATACCTCCAAATGATAGCAATATATGATATATATGTACACACACATATGCATTAATAAAGTGTGTATATGTGTGGGCCCATGTTGCTTTTGAGAGGTAATTTATGCACACATATTTGATATGTGGGCATGATGTTACTTTTGGTCTGGATCTATTTTATTAACACCCATAATAATATATATCACACATATATATGAGTGCATCATCAGCAATAAGTACACCCTTGTTAATTGAATGTATGTTTCCAGTGAAATATTAATATGACCATACAAAAGCATTTATTTATGTACCAAAGAATAATAAAAAAAAAATATATGTTCTAAGTTTTACATAACTGGTTTATAAATGCACGAGTTATTAAAAATCTTCAGGAACAATAATTTCAACAAATTTACTATGCGAAATTTAGATTAATGTTTACAAAGTAAATTTCATTGATTCTCAATATGAAAATATGAAAACTTGTAAGTTACAGGAGCAACAAAAGTAAATTCCTATTTTCCATTCATAATATATTTTGGCAATTCTATATCTGAGGTTAATTAAAATAGACATTACAAAAGAAATTTATTTTGTTCGTAGAAATAGAAAAACCAGGGGACACTTAAATATGTAAGACTACTGTCATGGAAAGAGAAAATAACCATAAAACATTTAATTATAAGAAATATACTCACCCTAAATATAACAAAAGCAAAATTATAATGTATTGCACAATTTATTGCAGAATATTTTACAATTCTATAAACAATGTAATCAACACTATTAACTAAAGGAGTTTAAATTTTATGACCAAAGTAAATGTATGACAACTATTTGTTACTAACTTCAAGTAGCCATGATAACAATATTTGAGCAAAATGATTGTTGAAATTTAATGACTGAAATCCAGATAGATGCTGTTCAATTAAAAATTTGAGCTAAGTGTAAAACTCATTATGCATCTCAAAAATGAGGATATTACATTCATTTCTTGTAGTAGGCCTTCATCATAAAGAAGACTATTCTATAAATATTATCCATCATAAAAATAATTACACAGAAATACTGTTTAACAGGTACAGTTCCCTCCTTCTTGCATGAATTCATATATGGAATGCTTATAGCACACAATGCAGGTTTTTTTTTTTTGTAGTTTTTTGTAATATTTTACATATGTTTTTGTAATTTTATTACGGGATACTATATATCACATACAAATATTAACTTATGTATATGAGTTGACTTTATCACTGCAAAGTGTTCTTAATTAGTTGTTACTAAATGTGCAAGTCTGTGTTTTCCCCCTTACCACATCCTTACATAATCTTGCATAATATAAATGCTTGGTTGTAAATATTTGAATATATAGTAAGTTTAAAACACACCAAAACTAATAAAACAAAATTCAAAATTATATTTTAAAAAATCTAAAATTATTAGGAAAGAAGATACTCAATATGCTAAAAAAATTAAATAAATGTTAAATTGTTAAGAAATTAACGAATAACCTACAAAAATTTTAAAATAAAATCAACCACTTCTAAGTTCAATATTACAATGGTAAGCTAATTACCATGACAAAAAAAAAAAAAAAAAAAAAAAAAAAAAAATGAAATAAAAAAGGCAAGTAAAAGTGATACATGCCAAAAGTTTAAAAATGTCTGCTGTTTTAAACTGTTTTGAGTGAAAACTTAAATAGGTATCTAATTAACAACTGATATGATTTCATGCAAATTAAGGCATTTTAATCAAACCTAAAAACTAAAGAAATAAAAACTATATCTTTAAATCAAACTCAAATCTCAAACTAAAGTGCATATTTTTCACTGATGAGGAGTTTATTTTCTCACTCAGTTTATGAAAAATAAGAAAAAATACACATATTGAAGTACATTTATAAGTCAAGCTAAAATATATATATATATATATATATATATATATATATATATATATATATATATATATATATATGATTATGTAACAGTACATTAATAAATAAAAAAAATCTGTCTATGCATGTGTGTATTATATATATGTGTGATAAATACACACATATATATATATATATATATATATATATATATATATATATATATATATATATGTATGTATATACACACTAATATATACTCACATAGAATTATTTCTAAATATAAATATATAGTTATAGTTATATTTAAACATTAAAAATTATATGTTGTAGTCAGTACACCAGTCAATGAGTGAAGAAAAAAATGGTCAGCATAATGAACAAAGCATAATAATTAATCAATAATGTGACATTTTAAACCATACATTGTATATAAAATAAATTTTTAAAACTGATATACTTAAGCACGTGGATGTGCACACAAATTACAATGCATTTTAGAAAATGTCAGCAACTAAATACATAATAATGTTGATTCTTAATCTTAAATTATTACCTTTACAATTGTAATTAAAATTGACAAAAAGATGAATTACTATCATAGGATATTTGAAAGTATGTAAGAAACTTACATATCAAATTGAAAATATTATAAAAGGTGAATACTATGAAGAAAATGTTAATAAACAGATTATATATTGAATGATATACTATTCAACACAATGCTCTGACTAATATTTTAAATTAAATAATAGTTATATTAATGAAAACTTGACATATAAACTCTTAAAATTTATACATTTGTAGTGAAAGTCATTTTAACAAAAAACACAAATCGAAAAACCAATACTAAATTATAGAAGTATAGAATACAACATTGATACTACCTAACACTCTTACTGATGCTGAATCTACAGGGCTACTAACAACAATAATCATTACTATTTTTAGTATTAATAATAATAAATATTTAAACAATAAAACTGGCAATATAGAGCTAATAATCAGTTTTACTTGCATTCTTAATTTAATCCTAGATGTTGTAGGAAACACAGACAGGACTTGCACTAGTTTCGACTAGCTTATTCAAGAACCTGATTTATTAAAGTTTGAAAAATACTATATAATAGTATAATATATTTATTTTTATACATATAAATATGTACATATATGTATGTATGCAAATATATGAATACAATACACACAGACACATATATACATACATAAATATATAAATATATATATATATATATATATATATATATATATATATATATATATATATATATATATATATATATATATATATATATGTGAGTGTGAATGTATATATATATGATTGTTATCAGATATATACACACATACACCTACATGCATATACACACATTATAACCTGTATCAGTTCTAAGGCTGCATAACCCCAATATTAATTACTTATCATGGACATAAGTAGTTCAAACACATTAAATAACATAAACTTTATAAACTAAAAATAGAGATCTTGTGGGGTTATACAGTCTTAAAAATAGAATGACTAGACCATTTACCACAATTCAAAGAACATATTGTTTATGACGTTTTACTTTTATTTGTTTTAAAAGACACTTGTAAAACTCTATTACCAAGTGTGTAACCATTTAATGATTGAATAGCAACAACTGCTTCATCATAATTAGTCATGGTAACAAAACCAAATCCTTTACATTTATTTGTTTGCAAATCTCTAATGACTTTAACACTTTGGACGGCGCCAAATGGCCCAAATAACTGCCATAAAACGTTTTCTTCAGTTTCTGGTGCGAGGTTATAGACAAATATACACCATCCTGAACCATTCATAGCATTTCCTGGCAGCATTGAATTAGCCAGAAGATCACCAGCCAAGGGAGAATACCTAAAACATACATTTTATGAAGGAAATTAAAAAGAGGATAAAAAAATACACAAAAAAATAAAACAATGAACGTATGAAAAGAAAGACAAAAAAAAAAATAATAATAACAGTTTGTTCATAAAGTAATAAAATAAATAAAGTTTTCAAAAGAATGAGTCAAAAGTTCAGAAGTTTTAAAAATTGTAAAATTTACTTCCCCAAGAACCAATAATAAAAATAAACTGTTATTAATACTAATAATTATAATGCAATTTATAATTGGCACGTGGTTAGAATGAACCACAGCAGGATGCCTTATAGGGCATTGTTCTCTACAACGTATGGCACAAAAAGAAAGGGAAGACTATGAAAAAGATGGCTACAAGATGTTGAGAGCGACCTTAGAACACTGTGCGTGAGGAATTGGAAGGAAAGAGCGAGCAATAGAGATGATTGGCATGCTATAATTCAGGAAGACAAGGCCCACCCTGGGCTGTAAAGCTACATAGTAAGTAAGTAATGCAATTTAATTGATAATTAAAGAGTTACTAGTTAAAGAATAATAAAAATTCTTTAACAAGTAAATGAGAATAGAAACACTTTTGAAGAGCTTAAAAGTCTGTTTTCAGAAGTGATGCACTAATCATTGAATAGAAAAAAAATTGCTTATAATGAAATATGAGAAACAGAAATTCAATTACTGGAATCCCTGAAGATATAGGTGTTCGAAAAGAGGTAAGTCGGGCACTGGTTCCACTCTGCCTCTATAGGATAACCGACCAGCTACTTCAACGAAACAGTAGCAGCTTGGTTTAGAAAACCTAATTTTTTTTATAAAAATGAATACTATAATTGTAAAAAATGGTCATACGCAACTCATTACAAGTATTGTCCATGGCTAGCCACTACTTTCTCCCATCTTTCAGGTAAGATATGGATTCCACGTTGAAAAAAATAATTGTTTTTTGAGGCAATCCAGTCGTCAACTCATTTTTACTATAACTTACCTATATATGAGATATATAATAAAGGAAAGTATTGCAATCGCGAAAATTTTCGAATCTCAATGTTTTGAGGTCTCCTGAGTCAAAATAACCAAGTCCCGCAAAATGGTCTGTATGTGTGTTAGCAGTCTAGCTCAAAAACAAAGAGTCGTACGGTACTGATATTACGTATTTAAGATAGGTATATGCCTTAGATGTGATAGCAACTTTTTCGTTAAATTCGGCTAACCGGAAGTGCCACTTTATATCAGCGCTGAAACACATTTTTACAATTTTCTCAAAAACTGCTCTAATGATGTTGATTAACCTTGGTTTAGCATTGTATAATTAAGTGGTCTTTAATATCAATTAGGTCTTATCCCCATTGATGTCACTTTTCAGGGCTTAAATGCCCGATGTTCACATACGTTTTCTCAAAAGTACATTTAATAAGGTTTATTTATAAAAAATAATCATCTCAAGTTATTCAGCGTTACGAAAAAATACAAAATATAACTTTTGAAAGAATTTGATAATTGAATAAAGGAGAAATAAATAAAAATGCTTATCCAGGTCGAAAATGAATCTCCGGAAATACTAGTCAGAAGGTATACATTTATTATATCGTTGGAAAGCGGAAAATTTAAAAAAAAAAACAATATGTAATATAGAAAGTTGTAGAACGTAATGTAGAGTATGAAGGTGAAGTTAACGTTATAAATAATAATTTTTGAAAACTAATATTATTTAACGTTAATCACATGTTTTCAAGGCAATTAAATGAAATTTACTAACTAAACGTGAACTTTTAAAATATTTTTAAGTTTTAAAAAATATATAAAATCCATCTAAACAAGGAAATACCATTGTTTAAAAAACTATTTCATTATATTTGTGTGAAATATCAAATCATTTCATGGGTGTATAAAGCATATGTTTATAACCTTAAATATATTTACTGTAGTTTAATAATTCTAGATCTAATATTATATTTAAATAATTAGGTATCACTGTCCGTTTATTTGAAAAATCGTCATGTAAATTTAATAAAAATTAAATTAGTGAATAATTTATTGAATTTTCCCTTTGTGAAATCCCAAAATTATCGTGTCTTCCTCTAAAGTACCTTTAATTTGTTTTATTGTAAATAATAACTATTATTATGAGTTATGAAAAAATGCTGAATATAACTTTTGAAAGAATTTGATAATTGAATATAAGAAAAAAAAAAAATATATATATATATACATATCTAGGCCAGAAATAATTGTCAGAAGGTATACGTATAATATACCATTGGAAAGCGAAGAATTTTAGAAAAAACAATATCTAATACAGAAAGTTGTAGTATTTAAAGGAGAGTGGCGAAAACATTATAAATAATAATGTCAGAAAACTAACATCATTTAATGTAAATCACATGTTTCCAAGGAAATTAAATAAAATTTTCTTACTATATGTAAACTTTTAAATGTTTTACAAAGATAGAAAAAAAAGTATTTAAAATCCACCTAATCAAGCCAATGTCATTGTTTAAAATACTATTTTATTACACTTGTGTGAAATATAAAAATATTTCATGGATATGTTTATAACCTCAAATATATTTACTATCGAGTATTAACTCTAGATAACACATTACATTTAAATAATTAGGTATCTATAGGCCGTTTATTCCAAAAAATCACCAAGTAACGTTTTAGAAAATTAAATTAGTGAATCATTTGATGAATTTTCCCTTTGTGAAATCTCAACATTATTCACTTACAATGGAAGCACTACTCAGCCAGGCCCTGAGTCAGCAATCGGAACAAGTGGTAGTCTGAAGAAGCAATGTCTGGTGAATATGGTGGGTGGGTCAGAACTTCCAAATAATAATAATAATTATTTTTAACAAATAATAGCATTTCCAAATAAGTTTTAACAGAGTTCGCAACAAGAGGTCGAGCATTGTCATGGAGTAAAATTACCTTATTGTGTCTTGGTTCATATTTCAGTCGCTTTTGCTTTAGGGCTTGGCTAAATTGCAGTCTATCACAATCTCCTGTGATGGTTTCATTGGGCTGAAGCACCTCATAACAAATGAAACCAAGCTGAACCCACCCAATGCAAAGCATAAGCTTGGAGCCATGGATGTTCAGCTTTGTTATTGATGTTAAGGTGTGTCTGGGCAGTCATCACGATTTTTTTTTGTTCTGGACTGTTTTAGCGTATCAACTTTTCATTACCAGCCACGATACAATGCGGAAAACCTTTTCTTTCTTCAGTCCTTCTTGCTTATGGTATGGATATTCACAAAGTAATGCCTCTATATCTTCATCTTCAAACAATTTTGTGGCACCTAGATGATTATCAACTCTGAGATCAAAATCATTTTTTTAAAATATTGAAAACATTCTTACTTTATATTTCTGTTTTTTTTTGTTTTGTTTTTTCGTTCTTTCTGATAGAGTATGATTGTCGCAAGTTACCACAAAAATGCTATGCCCTTCTAGCTGTATTTTTCTTTTGGAAAAAATAGTGTAATAAAATTTCCCTCAAAAATGGTTTTGAGGGTAAAAAATTCGCAATGTTTGAAGAGATATGTATGGTAGTGAGGCATGGACCCTGATGAGAGAAAAGATTTAAAGAAGATACAGCTCCAACATGGAAGAGAATCGTTAAAAACAAAATTGAATGACTTATATGGAGAACCAGATGTAGTATTACATTAAAAAGGAAAGAATAAGTTTAGAACCAGGAAGTTTGGAAATGATTGATTTCTTAATATCCAATGCTGGTCATGCAGGTTACAATGAGATAAATGGGGAAGTAGATTCCTAGCATGGGTGAATCACAATTTAATCAAAACCTGAAGCTAAAAAGTCCAACTTAAGTAATTTTAGTTCCAATGCTGTTTCCTACATATTAATATATCTGTTCTAATATCTCTAAGTTTTTATTTCTCCTCCCTTTTAACTTTCCCTTACCTATATATGAAATATATTGTAAGAGAAAGTATTGTAAACGTGAAAATTTTTGAATCTGAGTTTTCAACGGAATACATGTTTTAAGGTCCCCTCAGTCGATATAACCAAATCCTGCAAAATGGTCTGTGTGTGTGTTAACAGTCTAGCACAAAAATGAAAAGTCGGAACGAAAGTGAAATTGCATATTTGAGGTTTTTATATGCTAGGGGGATGTTACACCAAATTTTTCATCAAAATCGGCTAGCCAGAAGTGGCACTTTATATCATGGGCTGAACACATTTTTACGATTTCCTCGAAAACCGCTATAACGATTTTGATTAAATTCATTACATCAATGTAAAATTAAGCAGTTTTTAATATTATGTAGGTTTTATTCTCATTGATGTTCTCTAACAGGGCTTAAATGGCTAATTTTCAATATTAGCTTCACCTAAAGTACCTTTAATTGTTTTTATTTGAAACAATTGACCATTTCACATTAATTTATTATATAAAATATTTTTAAATATAAAATATGAAAGAATTTGATAATTAACTGAAGGAGAATAGTTGTAATGGAGGAACCAAAGGAATACAAGTGCAACCGAAAGATTAGGACACATTTTCATACTTAACATAAGCTTAATATAATAAGGATTCCAACAATATTATGTAAATATTCATATGTGGTTTTCATAAATGCTATTGTTGTTATTAGTTAATATTCAAGTGTATTGATTACAGCGATATAAATAATAAAATTTGTATGTATGTATGTATATATATATATATATATATATTAAAGGGTACTTATACAAAAAAAGGGAGCAGGGTAGCTCAGTGGTAGGGCACTGAGCTTCCAATGCAACGAACCCCGGCTCATGGCAGAAAATTTACTTATCTGTTTCATTGGCCGTGGGGTGACCTTGGGTCAGGAGTCCCTCCTGGGGCACACCCAGCCTCTATAAAGTGGGTACCCTTAATTAAATAATTAATTAGGGGGAAAAACCTGGCGGTTTGAGCGTGATCTCGGTCAAATCACCTCCTTGCACAACCGTGGACCTAGAAACAGTGCTTTCCCTAAATAGC